TGGACAAAAATCATAATATGCTAAGCCCAGCCACCAAGGTGAGCTTGAGTGTTGCGTGAGTCAGTGGTGGGCAGTGTGCTGAGCTGCAGACGGCAGCTGAGGCCTGGATTGTGACTAGAACGAAGCAACAGAATGAAAAGGGAGGGGCTGGTGGTCATCCGTGCCTGGGTAGTATGCTGGCCCTGGTGCGCTTATCAGAAGTGGGGCAGATGGCGTTACGTCCCCAGTATGTGGCCTAAAGAATCGGGAGGATCCACAGAGATGGCAGCGGGGTCTTTGGAACAAAACTAAAGGTGGGCCCTGTTGTCAAAGGCCTGGCCTCAGGAAGAAGCCTCAGCAGGTGCAGCATCCACGAGCTGGGAGGACGTGCCCTTCACCAGTTACCCAGGTGATGGCATTCTGTCACAGCAGCAGGTAGAGGTGATACAGGGACACAGGGAGATGCAGTTCCTCCCCGTCAGCCTGTGGTTTGGGCCTTCGACAGGGAAAGGTGTCCTGTTGTAAAGATGGGGCTCTGTCTGTTGCAGTGGTGTTTGCATACCTGCTTTCTGAGCGTGCCTTGGAGATTGGTCTCCCCCACAGTTGTTTCCTGTGCTCACTAGCCAGCAGTAGGCGAGGGTGGCCCAGAAATGCTGGGTGTCGTGAAGTGGTGTTTGTAAGGCAGACACGACGGCCAGTGACGTCCACGTTGTTTTCATTGCCCGTGTCTTTACTTTCTTACAGTTAAGGAACCATGCACTGCATAGCTACAGATACTGTTCTCATGATCACACATACATACATGCACAGACGCAAGCACATATCATTTGTGTGTTTTTTACATGATACCATCACTATTACATACATAGATGCCTCTTCCTCTGGTATGGAGCAGTTGCTGTTGCTTCTGTTCAAAGACAGATCATAGCCTTTTGGTTTTTTTGTTTGTTTGTTTGTTTCTTTGTGTAGCTCTGTTTGTCTTGGAACTGCTATGTAGACCAGACTGTCCTCCAACTCACAGAGATCTGTCTGCATCTGCTTCCCAGGGACTGGGATTTAAAGGTGTGCACCACCACTGTACGGCTGATCACATAGGTTTTTAAATATGCATTTGTTGAAAAAATTTATTTGTGACAGTATCATTTATTGAGATTGTTAATATTTTATTGTGAGCTTGACCTGTCTCTTTTTAGAATTACTTGCAATTGCTTACAGTAGTAGAAGGCATTCAGAAAAAAAAATAACAACTTTTTAAAAAAGAGAAATCCTGGGAAACTTTGGCATTTTCTTTTCTTTATAAATTTATAAATAAATTCCTTGGTGCTGAAAGGTATAGTTACCTTCACCCACATTTTAACAACTTTTTAAAACAGATGGGTCTAGAGCCACTAAAATCTGCTTGCAAGACAGTTCATGCAGTGTTCCTCTGACTGTCTGAAAAGGGAGCTAGGACCGGGCAGACACCTTGTGACTAAGCCTACCTCAGCATCTCTCCTTGTTTTCTTCAGGCAGACCCTCACTTCCCATTCCTTTTCACTTCCCTCCCCCTTCTCTCTTGTTTGCTCACTGCCCCCGCCCCTTTCTCCTGGGCATCTTGGTCACATGGGCGCCAGAACAGATGCTCCGGGTCTATGCTATCCCCCCTGATTGTTTCTGTTGGTTTGTTTGTTAATGAATGGTACCACTGTTTATGTCTTAGCAGCTTGCCTTTTCCATCCTCATTTATGCTTGTAAGTGTAATCACCCCTTTGTACTGTGTCCCCTTCCTGCTGAATGGTCAGAGCTGGTTCTGGAGTTTAACTCTGGAGTTTCTCTTGCACAGCTCTCAGGCATGATCCAAGCCCCTAGGAGGCAGCATGTCAGTGGCAAGGAAGGCCGGCAGCTGTCTGAATGCTCCCGGCCTCAATTGCTATGTGTGTGAGTGTTCATGGGCCAGGTATGCAGCTACTACACTGTACCTCGACGGTTCTGTGCTGACTTCACATGGCTCATTACAGCACCTATTGTTCCTGGAATCCCACGGTTAGGGTTAGAAACACATCTGAACTCTTCTTTGATTTCCTGAGAGCCACAGCAGCTGCAGACCCCAGTTGTGTTTAATTTAGAACATGTATTTACGTGGGAACAGTGCATACTGGAAAAGAAATCTGACACTTGGGAGTTACTATTTTAACTCTGTTGCTGTGACAGACACCTGACAGTCAAACTGTTTATTTTGGCCGGTGGAGTTAGAGTACACCGTGACTAGACTGTGTGGCAGAGGAGGTTCATTCACCTCATGCCCAGGAGGAAAGAAAGAGATCAGGACCACACAGGACCACATCACACACTGAGGAGCAGGTGTTTGGTGTGTGGCCTGTGGGGAGCATTCTAGATGGAAACTACAGGCGTTTGAACCTGGTAAACTGTGAACTTGCTCCCTAACATTAAAACTAGAAATGCATTCTCTCTTTGAGGGTTATTTCTTCAGCAAACCAGGTTTGTTTGTTTGTTTTTGTTTGACAACCATGTATTACTTAATGTGGTAGCCTGTCTTCAAGCTCCCGAGCTCATGCAGTCCTCCTGCCTCAGGGAGGACCACAGGCACTTGCCCGCCTGTCCAGCATGCTTGTTGATTCTTCTATAGGAGCTCTGTGAGGATCTATGTGAGCTGTAGGTTAAGCCTCTTCAATTGAGGGTTTGTGAAGTATAAGTAGACTTGTATTTGTCTCTGTATGAAGCCCTTGTGGGCCATTTGGGGCCTGGGCTTCTCAGATTAGCTCTGTCTTCCCTTGACTGCTGTCCTGTGTTTGGCCCAAGGTGAGCATTGAGAATAACACTTGTGATTGGGATGTGGGATGTTGAACTCTCGTCACATGTTATCCTCTGGGAGGATACACTTAACAAGAAAGGAAACTGGTACATCCTCACCCTGGGTTGTCATGCATGATGGAAGGACAGAAAATAGATACCAGGCCATAGAGGTCATGGTCTTACTAGTATAACCTCCGTGTTCTTTGTATAAGTGCTATAGTGTCTGTAGGGACACGTGGAAGCTGACAAAAGTGTGGGTTGTTTTTGTTTGGTTGGCTTTGATTTTTTGAGACAGGGTTTCTCTGTGTAACCCTGGCTGTCCTAGAACTTACTTTGTAGACCAGGCCGACCTCACAGAGATCCACCTGCCTCTGCCTCCCAAGTGCTGGGATTAAAGGTGTGCATCACCACTGCCCAGTGATGGAGATTTTAAAATCTGATCACTAATGACTAATTATTTTCCAAAGTTTTTCTACTCCTACCAACATTGAGTTAAACACATCTCTGTCATGATGAAGCATTATTTATCTTTGATCTTTCCTTTCACCCTGCTGGAGAGAAGCAGATCGAGCTGTGTAGGTGGGTGGGAAGTAGATTGACTCACTTTCTGCTGTCATCCAGTTGACTGCTGCAGAGCTCGCTCCCAAATCACCACCATTAATGTTTCCTGTTACTTCATTTGCTGTGCATTTCATTTGCTGTTGTTCTGACCTTTGCTGGTCTGCAGCAGAAGCTCACACACACCTTCTAAACATAAATTACTTGTCAGTTTTGTTGTGACTCCTTCCTTCCGAAGCTGCCAGTCATAAGTGTGTGTTTATATCTCATTTCTTTTCGACCTCTAGATTTTGAGCCTTGTTTAAGATGGTTTTTCTTACACCTAAGTAAATAAAAATACTCTGCTTTTACACTTTTAAAATTCACTCTCCCTTTTTGGGTACAGATTCTGTGAGGCTATATCAAATGGTTAGTTAGATTCTAGGATTAGGCATTGAATCATTTGTTCTTTCTCTACTGATTTAAAATGCCGTTTCATTGCAGTTATATATGTGGGTCTATTTCTGGGCCTTCTCTCTGTTGATTTGTTTGTCTCGCCCTCACTAATACCAGCCTGTAATTACATAAATTTATAGCCTATCTAGTATCTGGTAGTGCGAATCTCTGTTCATTACTCTTTATTAAACTTTCCCCCCCTAATTTTGTGTGTTTCTCTTCTGCACTTGCTTTAGAATCAGCTGTCAAATTCCATTAGAGGAGAATCCCCTTGGGCATCTTGATGGGGCTGGCGTTGCTGTGTAGAGCCATTGGCAGGGAACTGGTGTCTTTAGAATCCTTCTGGGAGTGTTTATTTAAACTGAACATTTCCAGGTGTTCACTCTTGGAGTCCTGTGAGTGTAAACAATCTGCCAAACGAGGACAGTGTGACAGTAGTAAGAGGCAGAGCCTTGGATGGAGGGCTCCTCACCAGAGCTGGGAATGGCCACACCCCCTCTTGGCAGCACTTGCTTTGTCCTTGGGAGAAGACTGTGCCTGACTCTCTGCTGTGTGGGGGCAAGCTCCTGCTGCCCTCCTGGACACCCGTCTCTGCAGGCCTCATTTGGCCATCTTGTCTTCTGTTGAGAAGTAGGCTACCCCAGAGCCAGTGTTTGTGGCTCAGCTGGTTCATGTCCAAACAAGAGAGAAAAAGTGCAGGGTGGCTTTTTGTTGTTGTGTTGGTTCGTTAAACATTTTAAAACTTTCATTGGACTGGAATTTTCTCTCCTGTTACCAATGGCAATCAGGTAAACATACATAGCATTGTGTTCAGAAAGTGTATCACTCAGTCACTTAGTGTTAATATGTCACTGTCCTGTGATGAGCACGAACTCTGGACGGAGCCGAGCTGTGGAAGTAAAGTGGCAGTGAGGACAGCGTATGGCTCTGAACTCAACTCCTTGGGGCCATCTGTCACACAGGCAGAGCAGCCACAGAACAGGGGCCTCAGAGGGCCGTGCACACGCTACCAGTTGGGGGATGGGAGGAAGGATTCTGCAGTGGTTGTGAGTTCGCATTCACTGTCTAAGTATAAAGGCTGCTGGTGGAATGTCTCAGCAACTAGGTAAAGCTTGGTGTGTGGTTTCATGTTTCTGGTCGTAAGGAGTGGCTGCCTGTGATCAGATACTGTGCTAGTAAGCAGCCAGAGCTCTTAACATGTCTGCATAACCATGTAACCTGTGCTTGCTTTCCAGAACTACACGCAGTACATCCCTCTGTCCATATATGACCTGCAGACATGGATGGGCAGCCCATCCATCTTTGTCTACGACTGCTCCAACGCTGGCCTCATCGTGAAGTCCTTCAAACAGTTTGCACTGCAGAGGGAGCAAGAGCTGGAGGTGAGGCGCTCAAAGGCCAGCACCGTGCGTGTGCGTGTGCGTGTGCGTGTGTGTGTGCGTGTGCGTGTGTGTACATAAGCACAAGCATGTCTGAGCCTGAGTAGATGAGGTGCTGTGGGGGTGTTGGGAAACCGGATGTTTTTGTGATGAAAGGTTTGGAGTGTTGGGCTGAGGTCGAACATTTGATGAGAGCTAGGGAGGTGCTTCTTGCAGCCACTGTAGTTTGCCTTTTTTTTTTTTTTTGAGACAGGGTTTCTCTATGGCTTTGGAGGCTGTCCTGGAACTCCCTCGGTAGACCAGGCTTGGTCTAGAACTCACAGAGATCCGCCTGCCTCTGCCTCCCGAGTGTTGGGATTAAAGGTGTGCGCCACCACCACCCGGCAGCATTTTTAATACTAATATTAATAGGTAGATTTGTATCTCAGTGGTTTTGCTCTCAAAGCTAGTTTAAAATGTTACCTTTGTTTTAAGAAAAATGGGCTCACACTTACCTGGCAGGGGGAGAGGCAGTGATCATGAAGGTGGTTTTCCCAGGGCGAGGCTTATCCATTGCAGTCTGGATGTGCTGACCCCTGTGGTTTCCCCAAATGTGGTAGCTGGGGACTGTTTTCTCTCTCCCCTGAAAAAAAAAAGAAAAGAAAAATGGTCTCATTTCTTCATTTCCACAGGTGTTCTTTGCTATAGTTTTTCTTTCTATTAAGTTTTGTGTCTTTCAACCCAAACAACCAAACTAAATGGCAAAACCAAAACAGCTGCTGGGTAGGTCCATTGTCAAGAGTGGAATCTGGGAGCAGCTTGGATAATTAAGTGATGTTTTGCCCGGTTGTTTTAGTTAATATTTGATGGTTAAATTAAACAGTGAGTTCTAAAGAGAAATTGAAGAGGCAGTTTCAATTAAGCGGTCTCCATCCACTGGGCTGAACAGAAGCACTGGTGAAAACACTCCGTGGCCTCTGGGGGCTCATGAATTCTGATTGGTTGCAGCACAGGAAATTCTCAGCCCAAGAACAAAAAATTACCCTCAGTAAGTTTCCTAAAGCCTTTTTGGATCTATTCAATTTTAATGTGTTTGTTGTTTTTCACATTTCATCAGAGGAGAGTACCGGAGGAGTCAGCAACAGAATTTGAAATTCTGTTTAGTAGAACTAAATGTTAACATGCCTACTGTTAAATATTTTGTATGTGTAAATTTATCCGTGTGTTGAAACTGCAGGAGAGTGACTGATGAATGCAGGAGAGTGCTGCTCACTCGGCCCTGTGTCTTGTATTTGCAAGAGGAGGAGGAGGTTACAACCAGGGTTTGTGTCACCAGCTTACTGTCCCACTCACAGGCTTTTCTTCTGGGTTTGTCCATGTTGGGCCAGCCTGTCAGCAGTACACACCCCAGTGCCAAGAGGCACTTTGTGTCTCTAGTTATCAAGTAAAGAATTGTTTTCATTTATAATGTCAATAAAAGTACCAAGGAATCCTGTTAGACTCTCAGCCTATTCTTGACCCGGGGAGTGGTAAGGGAAGCAACCAGCTCACTAGGCTGGCTTGTTAATTAAAACACACCGGGCAGGAACCTCTCCCCTTCCAGCAGAGGCACAATTACAGCTCGAGCATCTTATTAAAGGCCTGCTTCCCAGCTCTGTGGCGCTGCTCTGTCAGGACCTTGTGTGTTCTCTGTATGTTGCCAAGGATTAATCAGCCACAAAACACTATTCACTTCATTAACTGCAACACAATGAGTCACATACATCATTTTTAGAAGTTAAAAAAAGAGGCAGTGTAGTAGACTCATTAATCACGAAGGAGATCAAACGGAGAAAATGTTGGCTGATGGGGTACATGGAGGTAGGTGCTGTGTTACGCCTTGTGTTTCATAATTAGCTCAGCTTTTATCTTCATTCCTTTGTAATTACAATGTAGCCTGAGCTTGTGGTTTTTCTTTCACACTTACTATTATTGGCCATTGTTCAGTTTCTTGCATAAACAGCGGAAATTAGAATCATAGAATTTTATAAAATTGGCTCCCGGCTAATACCTTAGTTAGTCATTTCACTCTCTTGTGTAGAAAAACAATCCGATGTAAATTGTTAGGCTTATCCTTTTAGTGTATTCTTTCCTGACATAGGTGTGGTGGCACATGCTTGTAATCCCAGCGCTGTACGCAGAGGTGCGGACCTGGAGGGTCAGGAGGCTGAGGCCAGTCTAGGCTGTGTGGGACCTGTTTTCAATAATTAAAGACTTAATCCAACACTCTTCCCATCTCTGAGATAGCCAGTTTCTTTGTAAATTTGCAATATATGTTGTACAATATGTGAACTGATAGAAATTGTTCACTAATTGGTTTGTGCCAGTTCTTGGAATAAAACATTTTGCTGCTGCTCTGGTTTGCACTTGGAGGGGATGACAACATCCCTGTGCCTTCTGCCTGTCCTTGTTGCAACCAAGATTCAATTGGGGAATATATCTATAGTGTGTGAAGGAGAGCAGAAAAGAGTAAAGATGATTAAATATAATATCCAAAAGTAGCTGGTTGGACCAGAAGCCCCAAATAATAAATGTAAACACACACATGAGTGACATAAATTTTAAGGGTTGATTATCTGCTTTCGTTTTTCTGGTGGAGCCGTCCTTGCTCTGGGACCCTGGGGTTTGGATTCTGAGTCTTGTCTCTCTCAGAGGAAAACTGTAGGTACAGGAGATGGCGGCTTCATCACAGCGAGCAGGAACCACTGCCGCAGAGTGAAGCCTCATCGGAGCCAGGAACGGTGTGTCTGCCACTCAAGAGTCTTCCCTGGTTTTTTATTACATCACGTGGTTTTGTAATTTGAAAATTAAAGAGAACCAAGTCTCTCTGCTTTCACTGTTCTTTTAAAATAAACTGCTTTAATTTTCACTAAAATAGCATGTCACCTTTAAAATTAAGAGATTACATTTATGATAAAGTAGTTCTTGGCATCACCATGGGGGGCGCTGTTTGCATCTCCCTCTTCTGACCTACAGGGGGTGTGGTGCCCTATTTCTTGCTTGAAATACCTGTTTAGGTCGTTTGTGCATGAACTTCTTGCTCTTACAGAAACCAGAAGCCGAGCTGCCATTGGGGCTCTCTCTAAGGATGAGAGGATCTGCAGGCCCAGCAGTGCAAGCCTGTGGTTTTAGCAACTCAGGAGGCCAAAGTAGGGGCATTTCAAGTTCAAGGCCTGCCTGCACTACTTGGTGGGTTCAGAGCCACTCCTGGGCAAACTAGGGAGGCCCTAATTTCAAAAGAAAAGGTAAATGGGCCAGCCAGATGGCTCCATGGGTAAAGACGCCACCACAAAGCCTGACCACACATGTTTTGATCTCCAAACCCCACATGGTTGGAAGAAGTGAATCAGGAACCAGATGGAGTCTGGTGGCTGCTATTAGGGTTTGATTTTATCTGATTGAGCCCTGTGAGGAGATGCCTCTCAGTGATGCGCCTTTGTTGCCAGCTCCCCTCCCTGTCTCTGTTGCTCAGCCGCAGGGCCATAGTTTACGTTTCCATGGGTTGTAACTCTTGCTATATAATACCTTTTGATCATATTCACCACCACACTCCTCCCTTAACTCCTCTCAGATCCACCTTTCACCCCATCCGGACTGATGACTGCTTATCTTGTGCAGGCAACCGCAGCTGTGGTGAGTTCACATGTGCAGCGATCCTGTCGTGTCCAGGAGACACTTTCACTCTGTTACTCCCTGACCTCTGGCTAGAAAAAGTTGTCCACCTCCTCTTTCTCTGCGATCCCTGAGTCTTGTTAGCGGAGTTGGTGATATAGATGTCCCATTTATGGCACTCACTCTACAGACACTTAGGGTTTCTCTCTGTAGACCAGGCTGGCCTCAAACTCACAGAGATCCGCCTGCTTCTTCCTCCCGGGTGCTGGGATTAAAGGTGTGCGCCACTACCATCACCTAGCTGACACTTACTTTTTTCACTTTGATTACTTGTACATTTTTGGTGACTGTCTACAGCACAAACAAACTTCTCTAATGAGAGCAAAGATACAAATTTAGATGCCAGTTTGATGCTATGTGTATTAGTAGACTAATAGTAATAGCCTTGCAGCGTTAATGATGTCATTAGCAGGGCTGTTTGAGCGTGAGCAGCTGTGGTCAGTACCTTCCATGTTTAAGTCTCTGAGCTCCTAGCTTTTCCCTTTGCTCCTTGTCTCCCCGCCTGAGACTTCCGCCACCTGAGATTTTTCTTATGCTCACCTGTTGTTTCCTGCTGTAGCCAAGTCTTTGTGCGTGGTGTGTGGAGATTCTGAAAGATGACAGCAATGCTGAGTGTGGGGCTGGGTCCTGGATCCCATCTGAGTTGCATCTCTGCCCTTCCTGGAGAGAGTCCTTTCCCTTGTATTAGAGGCCTGTACTTCCCGTGGCTCTGGGTTCCTCCCCTATAGCTGTCTGCAGCTCCAGCCTCCTGTGTTCTGGACTCACCTCTTCCTTTCTTGTTACTTGGCTGTATTCTGCCCATGCAGCCCAGGCGCCAAGCCCAGAGGATGGATGGTAGCAGTCTACCTGGACCCAAAACATTTGCATTTGGAAAGCTGAAAGCAGGGAGAGCTCACGATTGGATTTTAGACAGATTATAGTTTATCTTTTTCACTAATAAGATCTCTAAGGCGAATGATTTACTCCTTGAGCAGTGCCTGCGGGAGCCAGCTTCTTCTTCCTCTCTGGCATCCTCTGTTGATGTTTTATCCTCCTGACTGTGGCCTGCCTGCCACAGCTCCAGGCTGTTCTTCTGTGTCTCCAGGAGGGGGGAGGGGGGGGAGAGGGTAGTGCTGCCTTGTCCTGCTTCAAATATTAGGAAGTGAATGTAGGCTTTTCTCTGAACCATGCCAGGGACTGGAGAGACAGGGTGGGAACTAGGAGGGAATGGAGTTAGGGGTGGACTTTGGATTATCTAACACAAATAACAACCCATTGCGTGCAACATTCATTGTCCTACTTTAGCCGATGCTGCAAGCTGTCTTTACCCCTAA